CCTCAAACATAGAATATAATGAGAGAGAAAATGGGATAATAACTTAAATAGGGGGTTTAATGAGAGCAAATAAAATGAACTGAATAGCAGTATTGAAATTACATTTTTTGCTCTTACACCAAGGACAAAACAATTTAAAAAGAAAAGAGGGGTATTTTGATTAAAAAGGCCCATAAGCAATGGGAAACTATTATCATTTTATAGTAATACTAGTAGAGATGCACGCAATGCACAAGATTTGTTAAGCGGAAGCTAAATAATAGAAACACATATAAGAGTATACAATTGTTTTATATTTTTAACATTTTAAATAATAAATACTTATTTATATTTTATTTACTACTTTTAATAATTTTTAGCAATACAAAAACAACAATAATTAATTTCAACTAGGGTTATTCATTAAATTAATGAAACTGACCAACTCAACCTAAGTTAGTCAGTTTTCTAGTATTTCCAATTAGCTTTGGTTCAAGAATTTTCCAACTTGACCAAGTTAGATTAGTTCTGTTTCAACCATTTGTAAATCAACTAAAAATCAAACAACCTGACCATATATGGGAAAATTCCTATATTTTTAGCATAAAATATTTTATATCATAAATTAAATTTTTAAATTTATTTTTTAATAATGCCACCATAATTTTTTTTAAGTTTAAATTTAAATACTTTGAACTGATTGACCAAATTGATAATTGACCCAAACAGATACAACTTGAGTTGGCCAATTTTCACTAACGGCCAGTTGGTTTTGAGTGACCAACTTCCAACCTGACCAAGTTTATTTAGTTGGCCAAACAGCCTACAACCGAGCTGAACCAACTCGTGAACACTCCTAAGTCTAGCCAAAATAATAGTCTAATCTATCAATAGTTTAATAACCAATAATTGTTGACAATTTACAGCAAAATACACAATTATTGAAAACATATTTATAAATTTAATACAATAAATAACTAATAAAAATACAATAGTTACAAAAATACAATGAATACTAAAAATATATTAAATTAGTTAACAAGTAATTTAATACTGAACAATAGTTTAATCTCTAATAAATATTAATCAATAAAAAATACAATAAGTACAATAGATTAAATTTAAAAAGTTAAATAACTACAACTTAATCTSCAATAATTATTCAAAATTTACTATTAAATAACAAAACAAAAATAAAATTGTACATAATTATTGAAAATATATTTATAAAAAAATAAATAGTTATTGAAAATACAATAAATATTAATTTTAGTATAGATAAATATATAATAAATATAGATTAAGATTTTAAAATTATTATAAATAAATACTAGTTTAAGAAATTTATTTTCTAGAACTATTAATTGATATAAGTGAAATTAGTTATTTACAATATTATTTAGTTATTTAAAAATATCATTATTGAAATTTTTAATATTAAATATTTATTGAATTTAGTAATCTATAAAATTATAGTTTATACTATTATTACATAATTTCATTATTTTAATTATTTAAAATCTAGTTATGTTTAATACTTCATTATTTAAAATATTTATCTATTTAAATATTTAAATAATATATAAAATATTTAATTTTTTCCATTTGAATTTTATTTAGTTTAAAGTTATTACGTAATAATAAATATTTTTTATATAATTATTTATCTACTTTTAATATTTTGTTATTTATGATATTTAGTTATTAAAATATTGAAATGCTATTTTATTTTTTAATGTTAAAATTTTATAACATTTAAATTGAATAATCCAGAAAATCATATTTTATATTGTTAGTACATAATTTCATAATGAATTTTGTAAAATTATAAATTTATTAATAATATGAATATTATTGAATTTATTATAATTATTTGTTGTTTTTTTAATAAATATTTTAAAGTTATTATATTAATTTTTTATATTATTTAAATAGTTTTTAATTTTTTACTTCAAACTTTCTTAAGATAGATATAGATAAAAAGCGGGGGAGAGGATAAATAGGAATTAAAGATAATTTAGAAGAAAGGGGGGGCATAGTTTAGGAGAAATTTTAGGAGAAGATACTATTTAGGTTATTGAGAATGTATGAGAGAGGGAGAGAGGTATTTTAGGTAATTTTTATGGGAAGGAGAACATATCATTGGTTGTTTCAAAAATAACATTGAATAAAAAATAAAAAATAAAAAAGGAGAAAATTTCTAGATTGTTGTATTTTAGGGGATGTTTGAAACCATGGTTGTTTTTCAAAAAATGGTGTCACATTGGATCCACATAGGTGTTTCAACAAACACCCATGTATCTCATTATTTGGTCCATCCGATTATTAAAAAATCGGGCATGCCTCAAAAGTCAGGACATAGCCTACATGGTAGAAGTGTTTTTTTGTGAAAATTGGGTCTCTAAACACCATGTTAGTGTGCTTGTGTGTGTAGATAGATAGTTAGATAAATAGATAGATAGATAGATAGATAGATTGATTGATTGATTGATTGATTAATTGATTGATTGATTGGTTGGTTGGTTGATAGATAGATTATTAAAAGATTTAATTAGTGGAATTTAATGTTGAATAGCAAAAATACCTTAAATATATGATTTAATAAGAGAAAATGAGAGATAATGCCTTAAATGTATGATTTAATGAAAGGAAATAGAATGAATTGAAGAATTCAGATTTGAATCAAGGTATATCTGAATCCGATCCAACACTATTCATGGTAGATCCAATCAGATCTGTTAGGTAAGGATCTGAATTTAAATCTAATCGGGAAGTCAAATCTTCGGATCTAATCTAATCCATTTTGTTTTCTTTAAAAATTAATAAATTATTAAAAGAAAAAATATACTAATTTAAATAAAGAAAACAAAAAATACAATTATTATTTTAATTATTTTCATCATATATACATATTTTTATAAAAAAATAAATAATATATTAAATTTACAAAAATACAACATATATATATATATATATATATATATATATATATTAGATCAGATAGGGGCGTGATGGCCCTCCCAAATAAGCACTTCATATATAGCTTCTAAAAATGTTGTGGTACAGAATTATTTTGAGGTAGAAGGATGGTTTTGGCCAGTTTTTCAATGGAAAGTAAACTTAAAATGTGAAAAAATGTAATCTTTTGAAACCCAATTTTAAGTCGGAATAAAATAGTCTTTTAATTTAAAATGAATTGGTTTCAAAAAATACAAGGCTAAATTACATCTTGCTTTATTTTTAAATATATTTTTTTGATTTAAAAATATATTTCTTTCCATACATATACATATTTTTTACATCCCACGTACATTACTTTAAAATACATCATAATCTTTTTGTTAATTGGATACATATTCATTTTAGTGTATACATATGTATTGAAAAATTTACACTACTTCTCATTGAAAATTTAATAATTTCTCAACCCGAGCTCTCTCTTCCCTATTGAATTCATGCATGTATGTATGGCATTAGGGTATGTATTAAAACTAGTGAAAAAGAATATCTGTTATCTCTCAATTCGGATCATGCTAAGGTGTACATTAATCAATGAATATCCGTCAAAATTTTAGTAAAAGAGACCTGAATTGATTATCTAAATACAGTGCAGTTTGGCCCTTCCAACATGCAGTAACATGTTGCATGGGCCATAAGGCTAGCCTAGAAAAAGAAGAGAAGATAATCTTATTCAGTCAAGAAGCATAGTCCACTGGGCAAGTAGCTAGCTTATTGACTGAATTAGTTCAGCTTCTCTTTCTTTTGCCTTTTTTTTTGTATGTTCAATGCCTCGCATTAATAAACCCCTGGCAGTGCACTAATGCATCTAATGGGCTTTGAGTTGAAGCTCAGAGCCTCAGACTTGCCCTCATATATACTTACCTCCAAATTTTGGTTGAACTCTGATTCAATTCTCACAAGACAGACCATGTTTACACCGTCTTTACAGCCACTTGTATCTCTGCATTCGGAATATCTCCCCATATATAGAAACATACAAGTACGTATGAGCACACAGTCTTGTGAGGACTGAATCCGATCTTATTTTGGTTAGATGGTCCTGGGCTAGAGGAAATTGGATGAACTGAAAACAAAATCATACAACTATACAAGTATATATGTTGGGCAACATATTATGAGTGAACTCCCATGTTTTTGCACCATTGCAAAATGAAATTGCAACGTAAACAACTAGGCATTTAAGAAACGATGGCAAACAAGAAGAATTAATCCGTGACAAACTCTGGTATATAGTACAAATAAGAAAAGTGTAAATTCTACTTCACTTTGGCTTAGTGTAAAATTCAGAATGCCAATAATTAATCAGAACTTGCATTCAATTTATTTGCACCAGTGCAAAATGAAATTGCATTGTAAATAACCGGCATATACTATGGCAAAGAAGAAGAATCAATCGGCGACAAAGACAATATTAATTATTAAATATGATTCCATGTCAGCGAGAAGGCAAATTGCCCAGATCTGAGAATCTCTTATCATCAGCAGTTGCCATCAAGATTCAAGACACAGTGAAGTCAACGCATTCCCTGAAGCCTTCAAATCACGCTTTGCAAAAATTAATCAACAGATGATCAACTCCCTCTTACTGCTGCGCTGGCATTCTTGCATGTGATAATATATATTCATGGAAAAGATCTAGCTAGCTCGGATGATCATATTCTATGGGCACTGAATCCCCTATTGCCCTGGAATTTCTCTTTCTCTTGGGAACTATATAAGAAAGACAATCCCTCGTTTCTTCTTTGTCAGAGAGAAGCCTTTGAACTTCTGAGTTCTGAAGCATCTCTACATTGTTAGCTCTCGTTGCCTCCACCTTGAGCTAGTTTCCTGTTAAGTTGTATAGTTCTTCTAATAAGCTTTCACTTTTGCATCATGAACGTAACGGGATCAACTAAAATTCAAAAGGGTCTCGTTATATTAGTGTAATAATCACTCCATGATGCACATTACGCCCTCTCTGATCAAGAGTATCTGGTTTTGTTTCTGTGGTGCAGGAGAAAATTTCAGATACAGTTCTGCTAGCTTCAGAGAGAGAGAGAGAGAGAGAGAGAGAGTTTCTGCCTCCGGTGGGTCATTCAACTGACGAAGATACGCAAAACAGGGAGATGGACATTGAGAGTCTGCCATCCTCACGTCGTCGCACGGAGAGCTTGTCATCGCACGTTCACAAGGTGGGAGTGCCATCTCCCCAGAATCTCCTCAAGGATTTCAAGGAAACTGTGAAGGAAACGTTATTTCCAGATGACCCTTTACGCCCTTTCAAGGATCAACCCAGATCAAGAAAGCTCATCCTGGGTCTCCAGGCCATTTTCCCCATTTTCGAATGGGGAAGAGACTACAGTTTAGCTAAATTTAAAGGAGATCTCATTGCAGGACTCACCATTGCAAGTCTCTGTATTCCACAGGTAGAGAGAAGATATTTCATGGGTCCCAGAAAGAAAAGTAGGAACTTACATATGATGCTAATTAATAGTTCTTTTGCTTGAAAAAATGAATAGGATATTGGGTATGCGAAGCTTGCAAATTTGGCTCCACAGTATGGGCTATGTAAGTGCTTCTTCATACTGAAATTCTAGGTTTTGCTTGGATCCTGTATCAAGTAGTAATCCTGTGTTTTGCTTAAAGGGTTAATTGTTAATTTTTACAGACACCAGCTTTGTACCTCCATTAATTTATGCCGTATTGGGAAGTTCAAGAGATATTGCCATCGGACCGGCAGCCGTGGTGTCTCTCATACTGGGAACTATGCTCCAGGATGAGATTGATCCCGTCAAGAATGCAGCTGACTACCGTCGGCTTGCTTTCACGGCTACTTTTTTTGCTGGGATCACTCAAGCTGCACTTGGACTTTTCAGGTAATCAACAGCTTAATTATTCTGTACCGATCTTGGTTTACTGTTTATTAATTCTCGATCGGTTTATTTGTTACACCATATAATGATGACTGTTTCTGGGTTTGCTTTTAGGTTGGGATTTTTGATAGATTTCCTATCTCATGCTGCAATTGTTGGGTTTCTGTCTGGGACTGCCATTACAATTGCACTGCAACAATTAAAAGGTTTCCTCGGCATAAAAGATTTTACAAGAAAAACTGATATTGTTTCTGTTATGCGATCAGTATGGGGATCAGTACACCATGGAGTAAGCATTAATCTTTCCCTTCTTTAATTGCTATTTCAAGGATCCATACACCATGCATGGATTAAACAATCCAACTGAGCTCTGAGTTCAGCCTAAGACTACTGAAATTTACAACATTTTGCAGTGGAATTGGCAGACTATAGTCATAGGAACAACATTCTTGGGTTTCCTTCTGTTAGCCAAGCACATTGTAAGAGACTATATATTAATTATTAAATGTATTTAATTTTGGTTTATTGCATTGAATACTTTCTCTAATCGTTAGGTGGTTTATGAACAGGGAAAGAAGAACAAGAGGTTCTTTTGGATTCCAGCAATTGCTCCACTGATCTCTGTAATCCTGTCCACCTTCTTTGTGTACATTTTTCGTGCCGATAAGAAGGGTGTTCAGATTGTAAGTAGTAGTTTCTATATATGCTTCTTCTTCTTCTTCTTCTTCTTCTTCTTTTCCTTTATTTCTGCCTTTTGGTATGACTGAGCGCTGCTACTTGTGATTACGTACGTGTGAAGGTGAAACACATAAAAAAAGGAATTAATCAGCCATCTGTGCATGAAATTTATTTCACGGGCAAATATGTTATGAAAGGTGTTAAGATTGGCGCTGTGGCTGGCATGATAGCGTTGACAGTAAGATAGTTTCATCCATATTTTGTCAATCTATCATAGAAAATATTTTGAATCTAATGGACTGTATCTTAAGAACAATTAATGCTTTGGGTTTATCAGGAAGCTTTAGCAATTGCAAGAACATTTGCATCCATGAAGGACTATCAGATTGACGGCAACAAAGAAATGGTAGCACTAGGAGCAATGAATGTTGTTGGCTCAATGACTTCTTGTTATCTGGCCACAGGTAAGAAACAAAAATAAAAGAAAAAAAATTAAAGATTCCACAAAAACAGTGAGAACCATACCAGTGGAACACTTAGCTCAGTTTGCTTGGAGTGCCAATTTCATTTGCATTATTGGTGTAAATGCATGGGAATGAAAATAGTCTGAGGGTAAATTTTGGTTTAGTTATTGCTTCAGATTTGACTTTGTCATATTTGTTTGTGAGAAATATAATAGGAAGTAAAATGGAGTGGTCCCCACTTTATATGAAAGAGAATGGAGATATAAGAGGAGAGAGAGATTTATTTTGGAGTGTTGTAGGAAGAAAGACGATGTGGTCCCCACTTTACATGATAGAGAATTGAAGGATGAGGAAGGATGCAAAATTTGCACTGTTAGTGAGTGCAAATGAGAAAAAAAATACAAATTTTTCATGAGCTAGAAGTGCATATCATAGTTAGAAGCAAATAGATGCAAAACTGAAATGGGTGTTTCATTTTGCAGTAGAGGATTTGTGCTGATAATGCTGCCTACAAATATGTAGATATGGTGGTCATGAATCGGATGAAATTACATTGTTTTTAGACCTAGCTATCAACTAAAGCTCCCCTTTCACAGAAACCCAATATCAATAAGCTAATGATATCCATCTTTCTTTATGCTTTCTGCATGAATTGATTAATTGATGGTGACTCCACTTCTGTTTTAGGTTCCTTCTCTCGATCTGCAGTGAATTACATGGCTGGCTGCCAGACAACCATATCCAATGTAGTAATGTCTATTGTTGTCTTACTAACCTTGGAACTCATCACACCCCTCTTTAAGTACACTCCCAGCACCATTCTTTCTGCTATCATTATTTCCGCCGTGATCGGAATGATCGACATTGAGTCAATGCTTCTCATATGGAGGATTGATAAATTGGATTTCGTGACTTGCATGGGAGCTTTCCTTGGTGTGGTTTTTGATTCGGTTGAAATCGGCCTTTTAATTGCTGTAAGAATTATATCTAAAAACCTACAAATTAAATCAGCTTACTACTTCTAGTTAATTAATGGGTTCTCTTCATAAGCTTTAATTTTCTTCTTACATGACACAGGTTTCCCTATCTTTGGCTAAGATACTCCTGCAAGTGACAAGGCCAAGGGTAGTATTACTTGGAAAGCTTCCCTGCAAGACAACCATCTATAGGAACATTGATCAATATCCTGATGCAATGAGGGTTCCAGGCTTACTCATAGTTAGAGTCGACTCTGCAATCTATTTCTCCAACTGTAACTATGTCAAAGAGAGGTATTTTTGAGCGAACTCCCTTTGATCTGTTTTTCAAATGTTGACTTAATTTTTTCTTACTAGCTTGAATTTAATAGATTCAATATAATGAGGAAGGAGTGTGAATCAACATTGCTCAGGATGACCTTGGATTTTGAAATTTTGATTAAGAAAATTAAGTCACTGAGTAGCATATAACTGACAATATGTTAAATTATATTCACTTTCTTGTAGGATTGGAAGATGGTTGAGTGATGAAGAAGAGAAATTCAAAGCAAGGTTCCTACCAAGAATCCAGTTCCTTATCATTGATCTATCACGTAAACATTCAGACTCTCCCCTTTTACTAAACATGTTGGAATTGATCATCTCTCTAGCTTGAAACTCATTTTCATGATTCTTCTTTTCACTGCAGCCGTTATTGACATTGACACCAGTGGTATCCATTCTCTGGAAGATCTATATAAGAGCCTCAGGAAGAAAGATGTTCAGGTAAGCCACAGTAGTATAACCATCCCATGTTATTAAATTAAAGATACTATATATTTATCAGAGAGAGAGAGAGAGAGAGAAGAGAGAGTATTAATAAATCTAGGCAGGGACAACTGTATAATAAAGCTACTACATGTTCTACAGCTTGTTCTAGCAAATCCAGGGCAAGCAGTGATAGACAAGTTTCACGCATCCAAGTTGACGGAATTGATTGGGCAGGATCAGATCTTCCTAACAGTGGATGATGCTGTCTTGAAATGCAGTACCAAGGTTGCAGAGTTGGAGCTGAACTAATTAAGAGACTATCTTCATCTATCTGAGAAAATAATGTTCAAGGAAAAGAAGCACTAAGTACATGATTGGAAGCTAGTTTTATACTTAATTCCATAAAGAAAATGTTGTAGTTCCTGTCTGTTCTGTATTTTAGTGTAAGAAGAAACGTAAAAGGAATAGTGGAGTAAAGGTGATCAGATTGTTTACATTGTGGATTAATTAATTGTAGAAAAACTAGTGAGATAGGCGGTTGCTTTGGGTTGGCGATCGAGGGTTCAAATCGAAAGATGGTTATGGACTCTGCACGAGAAAGAGAGAGATCGTGGAATTAAATCAATGATTAATTAATAAATTCCCTAACAATGATAGTTCCAACTTCCAAGTATTGCCATGTTCAAAGAGAAGAACCAATGAACTAAACAAAGCAAAACATTTTTTTCTCTTTTCTTTTTTTTTTTTTACTTTTCGGGTTCCGCGCATTCTTCCACCTAAGGCTTGTAATGTTGAACCTGTAGATGCTGTAACATGGCACCTCGTGTCAAGTAATAATAATGTCGGGATGCAACCAATGTTTTTAAAACCGACCCAGAACTGGAATCACTTGGCTCTACCCAGCTTTCGGGTCAATGGTTCAATGAAGAGCCCACTGCAATTTAAAAAGTAAAATAAAAAATAACCGATTGTCGGGACAGTTTCTAGGTCGGACGGTGTGACTGTCCAGGTCAAACAGTGTGACTATATAGAATTTACAGCTCCATACCTCTACAACGTTTTTGCTGCACTAGTGCCAAAAATACTGTTTTTCTCTTTTCTTAGCTAACTAAAATATAAAGAGAAATTTATGGTTTAGTCCACCTCGGTCACCCCAAATATAAAAACTCCTTGRGGTTTCATTTTAACAAAAATCTCCCATGTTATTTTGAAAAGACCTGTAGTAACCTCCCTTCCATCATTCTGCCAATGGAAAACTTTGGCCTAATGCAATATTTTTTGTAAATACCTATTTTATCATTATGGCGTATGTCTATTAATTTGTATTAATATTTATTAAGGTATCTATTGATAAATCTTTTTTGAAAGATCTTTCGGCAAATCTAACAATCAAAAGACAATATGAGCTTTTGCGTTAAGATTTTAGCAACCTAAAGACCACCTGATTAAGGCACGCCTTTCCATGCAATTATGTGATGAAAAAAATTGAAGAACTTCATTTAGAGCTTTTCGAAAATAATCGAAAACGGGCTTTACGTGTCTTTTCGAAGAGACATCTTTTGGCGGATAGTATTTATCCAATCAAACGGGAAAAAGACGAAAACATGGGCTGTTGGCTTCCAAACAACCAACAGCTCACATAGAACGACGTGCCAAATGGGGCTTAGAATACTGCCAAAGATCTTTTATCTAAAAAGGTTCCATAGGTCAAATTGAAAGAGTAAAGTAATTTTACTTTTGTAAACTAATCAAGTTGAGTGAAATTTGGAAGGGCAAATCTGACATTCTGAATTATGTAGAAAAAGATGCCCCAATGAGTAATAAGGGCAATTTCATAAATTCAAAGCCTTGTTACTATGACAATGGTGGAAGGGACTGCAGATTTTTCAAATTTACACGGGAGGTTCTTACTATAACGAAACCTCAAGAGAGGTTTTATAATTGTCAGGAAACTCGAGATAGATTTTACAATTTACCCTTTTTTTTGGTAAGGATGAATTTGGAAGGAGTATAAATGCAAATATATAGAGTGTAAAACCTTATATTTTGTATTATTTTGTATGTATTTACGCTATCCATATTTGCATTTGTACTACTTCCAAACGGATGTTATCCATTTTATTATATAGGATTTGAATTGAAGTTGGATTATAATTAATTATTAATAAAATGTTATTTATTATTAATAAAATGAATTAATAATAACTTTGATATTATATATCATGGACAAAATGAATTGAAAATTACTTACACGAAACTTAAATCTATTACTATTTACTAAAAAATACTACATCTAAATCATCTTTACTGTAGATACCATATAAATTTTAAACGTATGAATATCAACCTAAAAGCTTAAACTATTAAATAAGGTTCCTGAATAGTATTTTTATTATCTAACAATATATAATCAAATGGAATTGGATCTTATCAGAACAGATAGGGATGGATTCATATTTATTCCACTATAAACAACTTCAATTCAGGTCACTCTAAATGGGATCGAATTCAGATAACAATTAGCTAGATACCCTTTTCAACCCTAAAATGAATTATTATAATTGGACTTCAATTAATGGACCCATGCAGATGGGAGTATTATAAGAGGTTTAATTGACACTTGATATTTAAGAGACCTTTTAAATCACATAAATAGGTAAGCCTTACGGGTGCAAATGGATTGTCGGGATCCAAGATCCAATCCTGTTTGGTTGAATTTGGATCACCTCTATTTGAATTTTCGGATTAGATTCGGATCATCTTATCCGATCCGAGAAGATCCAATCTGATGTATATTATATATTTATAAATAAATATATATATATGTATTAATACATATATATATGTGTTATTTAGTTATTTATAAATATATTTTCTTTTTTTTATAAAAATAAGTATATATATAATGAAAATAATTAAAAAGTACTTATATATTTTATTTTTACTTTATTTAAATTAGTATATTTTATTTTTATTTTAATAATTTATTAATTTTTAAAGAAAACAAAGTCAGATCAGATCAGATCCAAAGACCCGACTTATCAATATGATTCGAATTCAAATCGAGTCCTATCAGATCGGATCGGATCGGATTCAAATATACTTTTATTTGAATTCAATCCGATCCATTTGCATCCCTAATAAGCCTCTTTTAAGCATGCTGCTTTTAGAAAAAAGAAAAATAAAAGGAATAGTGGTCATTAAATTGATTTTTTTATTATTATTTATTTATATTGTCCTCGTAATTTTCTCCATGAAGCAAGAAATAAGCCACATGTAATAATGAAAAATAAAAGTAATTATATATATATATATATATATATNTATATATATATATATATATATATATATATATGTGTGTGTGTGTGTGGACATATTGAGGTCAGCTTGAGATATTTGCAATATAATAATGCAAAATTAAGCTAATAGGTCAATAAATAGTATATTGATTAGGCATGAATAGATCCTACTTCATACCCTAATTATTTTTTCTCTGCACACTTATTCCATTAATTAAGCATTAACATAAGCACGCGACCTTAATGCATTTAAGTCACTACCCTTAGTGTTTTTTCAACGCCAGAAAGGCAAATTTTCATTCATTCAAATGCTCAAATTATAATCATTTAAGACTGCCGAGAGAACGAATTAATGAGGAATATAAAGACCAAGTATGAATGGATAGAGCTCGTTTTGGGAGAAGATACACCAGTTGGTTGACAAATTGAACTGAGCAATGGGAGATCTGATCCAAATTGCATATCCAATTCAAAGAATAAAGAATTTCCAATGATCCCTTCAAAATTTAACAAATACTCAACTCAGGCCCCTCCAATTTGACCAATACTTGGTTGGAGGAGCCTTTTTAATTTAATAGTGGTAAATCCTGTCTAGTTGATGATGATCATGTGCTTCGGACAATTATTTATTTAATATAGAGTTTCAATAACTGTTGCTAATTTGGGGCACCCCTGTTGGCGCTGTTAATAAATTGTTATCTATGGTGCTGGAAAGACATGATACAGATAAGGCTGTGATCAGTGAATTTTGATGAAAACTCACCTGATTGATTCCCATTTTTACAATGCTGATTGGATAAGTTTTTCCGATATCATGTTTTTCCGGCATTTTAATCGAACCTTAAATCATTTTTATTATAAATTAGTAAATTAGAATGATTTTGGATCAGGTAATTCTCAAGTCTTCCCTCAATTGTCTGATTGTCTCTTTCTCTCTTATTTTCTATTAAACCAAAGGTTCTCCATTACTCGTTATAAAAGGAAGAAAAGCCGGGGTAGGGTTTTGAAATTCTACTATATTGTATCAGAAACCAAGAGAGCAAGAAAGAAAATGTAAAACGGAGAACATACAGGATTTAAATGTGATTTGGGAATTTGTATGCATCCGTAGATGAATTCTTATATGGAATTCTTCATTCTTTTTTAAAGACGGATATGAGATTCATCATTTTCAATCCAACACATAGACTAGTTTTTACGTCACTGAATTGGGTTTTCCAAAACTTTACTAATCTAGTCTAAGTACAATTGAGAACAAGCATGGTAAAAAACAAAAGGTGAAAATTTCCATTTTGGGGCGATGTACAGTCATATTTTGCATAGGTTCCATTTTACTTCTAACATGCAAGTAAATCCATGCAATGCATGGGCTTAGATAGAAATATTGTTAGGTTTGGGCTAACAAATTTAGGTTTTGGCATCAATATGGGTTTAGGTTAGGGTCCATGTTTTAGGGTTGGTCTTGGGTTGGACTTCAACCTGACCCAATCCATTTAATTTATACTCCTGCTTTAAGAGCCAAAAGAGATAAGAGGAATTGAGGGATTTAATGGGGAAGGGAGATGTTACAAATATTGAATATTAGACTATTGGGTCGAGAGAGAAAGAGAGAGAGAGTAGTGATGGATTTTTATAAAGACAATTAGGACCCAAGAGGGCTTTTATTTTGATTTTTTTTATATTTTTAATAATCGATAATTTCATTTAAAAATAAATAACATGTATGAGAAATGAGAAAAAGATGTCCATGTGAGCTCTATAGTGAGTAGACCTCTTGTCTCCCTTTTCCTATTTCTAATATAGATATGGATATATTCTTATAAAAAAATATAGATATACATATAGATATAGATGGATCCTTCTGAATATAAAACATCTTTCTTCTAACCATTATTTTTTAATTTGATCATAAAGAACCATTTTGTTATTGTTATTGTTGTTGCTTGTGGAGGATGCACTCATGCACCTAATAAAATTCCTCATCTATGTTTAATAATGATCAAAGTGGCACACTAGAATAAATACCCTCTCAAATTTTGTTTAGGCAACCAGCAATAAACTAACAAACAAATAAATAAAATCCCTTTTACTGAGAAAATTTTAAATATTAATAGGGACATAATAGTTAATATAATACATGTATGACAAAATATAATATAGAAATATTTGATATAATAATGCACACTTTTTAAAAAACTTATCCGTCTTTTTAAGGTACCTGTTAATCAGAAAAAGAATAATTAGAAGCGCCAATGGTCATACTGTCAACTCTAATTTAATTTAATTTATTTATCTCACCACTGGATGACTTAACCTAAACCTGCTGTGGCAAATTATTCAATTGAGCAAAATCCTGAGCCATAATACTTATCTGAAGAGAGACATAACATCACCATTTACTCATCCAAGGCGTATTCCCACGCCCACATCTTCAAACCATGGTTTGAATAACATTTGATGTTGCAATTCATGGAATCCAGATTTCTTACTTTTTCTATCCATTCTGTACACACCGTGAATTGCAGTCGCATATCTCTCAATTCATAATAGAGATATCTGGCTGCAATTCATAACGGGTAGAGAATGGGTAGAAAAAGTGAGTAGGAAATCCTGTTTAGCAATTCATGTATAACAAGGGTCATTCTACCAAAATGCCCAATTGATTAATGAGGTTTGAACAACATTAGCAAAACAAAAATTAAGGTTTTTTTTTCTCATTAGAACTATTAAAAAAAACAAGCATGTGGGTCTTAGATGGGTTGAAGCACCCAGATCATAATCCATGGGAATAATCAATCTAACTCAACCAGTCTCAGTAAATGGTTTATTGAATTCTTGCATTAGGAAGCAACTCGCCATGGCAAGCCATTCCCCATCCGTCCCCACAAAAATTGGATTCACATCAGTACCCCACAGCACATCCCCATTGTGTATTGGAAACATCTCCCAATAATAAGGGAGATATTTCCAATGCACGCTGAGATGTGCATGTGGGGTGCTGATGTGATCTCACAAAAATTCCTATCCACATCACCAATCCCCATCCGCATCCTTGTTAGAAGGGACCAAAGGGGATCTCCACTCTCCGTATTCTTTTATTATGTCAATTATTTTGTCTTTTTTTTTATTTTATTTAAAATAAAATAAAATAATTAAAAATTGACAAAACTATTGAAAGAGATTCAAATATATACATACATGCATGGTGTACTCTTCCCGTCCACGACAATGGGGATGAAAATTTCCATATCCCCATCCCCATGGGGCAAAAATCATCCCCATCCCCGCCACATTCGGGGTGGGTCCTTGTGGGGATCAGGAAAATGGAAAAAATTTCCAATCCTATATGCCATGGCAACATGTTCTCAATGGATTATGCACAGTGAGAAGTCCAAGGTGAGTTTCCCATGTTCTTCACGGACTAGAGATAAGTATGTTATAAAAATCAGGGGCTTTCTTCTCTTGTCCACTCTCATTTGGATCTTCATGTAATGGACATAAGGGCTTTGAAGGATGTCTAAGGAGAAGATTGGATGAAACAAAACAATACAGTATTGTTGAACGTTGTGAGACAAGTCATAGAAGATATGATGATCCACACAGTTTCAGCGAAGTTTCAGTACACCATTAAAGGCAAAGGTCAAAGTAAATAAGCATTTGCATCAATTTCAATAATTCCAACCCAAAGTTGAACTTCACAGAAAACCTCATACAGTATCTAAACCTTCAAAACACCAAAGAATGAAACGAAAGGAAGCAAAATAAATTGTGGAGCTAACACATTGTTGCTACTTCAGTAAATAAGAACCACAGGTGCTACGGTGGACCCCTCAAACAAGCCATAAACTGAATTTGTTCATCAGATGGCACTTGGTCAAGCATAAGTTGGTGCCAGACACTCATCAACCATATCTAAGAGATTAGGGTTTTCCAATGCTGCTGCCACCCGTTCTTTATCATTCAGCTGTTTATTAACTGCAAGAAGCTAACGGCAGCATGTTACTAGACAAATCCATTATTCTGTAATTCCAGTTTAGAGAAGATTATAAAAACACCTGGTAACTAGATAGGTACAAACTGACATTGTTGACATCTAATTAATATATATGGGTTTGACTGTTCGAGTCCACACTCTGTTTCTTCATGCTCCATCAAACTTTGTTAGACTTTATGGAGAAAATGTCACTCAGATCCAGGCTACCTCTTTTTTGATAATAAAAGGAAATTTATTAAAGAAACAAGAGAACAAACAATACATGGTGACAAGGAATCACCAACAAGAGGAAGGGAAAACGCCTTAAATGAAAGAAAAAACCAAACAACAACAAACAAAACAGCAAACCGAAAACTTCGTCAAACACAATACATCTTCACTTCATCCCCTAAACCCCCAAGACCGAATGAAAACTGCACAAGCCATCAGTCCATCACTAATCCTCCTCCACAAGCAGATCTTCCTGCCTATCATCAGCTTCATTCCACACCTCTCCTCTTTCCCCCACTATAACTTTGTTCACACTTTCCTCCCTCCTCTCGATCTCCTCAAGGCGTTTCCAACAAAAGCCTCCCCACCCATAAAAACAGACCAAGATTTTTTCCAATGTCAACAATTTTCTCAAATAGCTAAACTTCCTTCCTTCACCACCTTTTCTCCTGGGACCCTATCAACCATTCTCACCTCATCTTCAACTCTTCCCAAACTCTTTCTCCTTTTCTTGTGAAAATTATCCAACTGCATCTCTGAATTTCTGGGGCCAAAACAGTCTCCCCCACCAACACCATCCAACACCAAAACCTTTGTATTTACCCCTTTTCTCTTGTAAACTCTTTTAACATTTTTTGCGGGACCTGCGCCAATCAATCAAAGCTTCAGCCGCAAGAAGACTTTTAGTTATGTGAACAATGTGTTTCTTGTAAGGAACGCGAAACTTCTTTAGAGCCAGCCCAACGTCCTCAACCTCACCTCCCTCTTCATCTTTCCTTTTGTGACCCAAATCCACTCTAACTTACCTATCATCATCACCTCCTCAAAATAAAAAGCATCACCAGCACGAATCCAGATCAAGGAAAGACTCCTGTCACCAACAGCTTCCACTGGACCCTCCTCTGAACCACCTCCATCTTCTTCGCTGATCAAACAAAGAACATGAACTTTCTCATGAACTTCCTTCCCATCCCCCAGTCCACTATCCACCCTTTCATTGTTCTCCTCTGAACCAATCAGAAACAACTCCACCGAAATAGAAAAACTTTCTTGAATTGGCAAATCTGCATCCTTCCGAGCCTCTGATTTGTCACAGGCTACGGGAGATTCAACACCCTCCTGATCACAAGCCCCAGGGGATCAATCAACCACAGCAATGCTCCACGATCCTCCACAACATCTTCAACAATCTTCCTGTTACCTCCTGTATTGAACTTCCTGATCAAAGGCTACCCTTCCATGGGTCTGAAAGCCCTCAGATTAACTAATGAAGCATATTCAGAAGTGAAACAAGCACCCAGTTTTACTATTTCATATACCACAACCCAAATACAATATAAGCATCAGAAAAAGAATACCTGCAGCTTCAGTTGCATGAGTTCCAGGTGCTATCCTGATATCCACCTAAACAAAAAGAGAGAGAAGTTGAGAACAGAAGTGTCATAGAAAACTTATTCTTTACCAATGGCATCAAGCATTGCCATGTAAGAAAATAATACCCTTTCAAAATATATGGAGCATAGAAAGCCAAGTTCAAGGACTTGGATAAAAATTAAAATATCCAATCAAGACACAGCAGAAAATACCAATTTATGCAAACACAAGAATGAAAAACAAATTTCCCTTTGTGATTTATCAAGGTGAACAACACAACTTTTTTTATCAGTGTGAACACTGAACAATGCAAAATATAACCTTATTTCCTTTAATCTGCTTAAAGTATGTATACATAAACCAGCTCCATCTTAATGGTCACCTTTTATTTTGATCCCAATTCGCAACTAAAGCAGAAAAAATCTACAGACTTCACCTTTTTTGGAATTTCTGCTATTTGATCAAGGTGAATCCCACACAATACAAGTATACAACCTTCCTCCTTAAACCCATATAATTTCCACATAAACCAATGCTATCCTATTTTCCTCTTCTACTTCAATCCTGACTACCAAGTAAACTACCATGAATCAACCTACAAGCAACACTAAAAATAATAATAATAAAATAAAATCCATTGGATAAAAATCCAACATCCAGATACACCTCAAACAAAAAGATGAAGATGGAAACTAAGACTCAAAACCCTTTAATATACTCTGCGTTCAATCAGTCACAAACTACAAAAATGCTTTAAGATTTTGTGAAGTTTTTTTATTGGAAACGGTAACTTCCATTAAACCAACAAAAAGAACACACAATGTCAAAGAATTAGCCGCACCATTGGCTGACCTCGTTCAATTAAAGAGTACTCCAGCTTCCCTTGCTAAGCAAAGATCTCCCTTATTTGCTATCTAAATGTCCACACCTCATAGTTATGAATTCCCCATTGCTTGGCCACAATCCTTGAAGTAAGGCCATAATCTCAGCTCTTAATGAATCTCCAACACCTATTGGGCCAGAGTATAATGCTATCACCCTGCCCTCCCCATCTTTGAATACTCTCCCAAGATTTTCTTAACACTCATAAATCTCCGAAAATAAAGAGGAGGCATTTATGAACACCTTGAATGCAATAACCAACAATGACCAATATTTCACCATTATATAATGCTCCATATAAATTAAAATGCAAGAAACAAAAGTAACAAATTATGACATAGGATCCCATATTCATGCAACATAAGATCTAAAAATAACCAATATAGGCAACCAACTATCTTGCACAAAGAGACATAATGCTCGGTGAACAATATACTCTTGATGTTGGACACAAAAGAGATGCTATTCAAAGTAATTTATGATTGGAGATATGGTTTCTTTGGAAAATGGTTCTTTGTCTTGGAATCTGCATTTGAGAAGAGGTGTAGGGGACAGGGATTTATATGACACTTCTCTCTTGTTTATCTAATGTTTATCATACTTTTACTGGTGAGGACGAGTGAATTTGGCCCCTTTCATGCAATGGTTCCTTCTCTTGTTCTTCTTTCTTCAAATCCCTTGAACCTTCTCAGAAGTTGCTTTTGACCTCTCCTTTTCCATATTAAGAAATTTGGTCAGGCCCTCCTCCTCCGAAGGTAAAGATTTTCTGTTGGGAAGTTTCTCTTCAAATAGTAAACACTTGTTTCTGTTCCAATCACCAGTTTCTCTTCATTTATGATTGTGCACTCTTTGTCTTAACAGTGGAGTGTTCCAATCACCTGTTTCTGTTTTGTCAATTCTCTTAAAAGATGTGGTCTTACTTCCTATTGCTCTTTGGGAAGCAATGGGTGTGCCCACAAAACATTGTGGATCTTTTTGGGCAAAATGTCATAGATTGCAAATCTAAAAGAATGAGGTTGCTATGGCAAAGCACAAGAGTATCTATTTCTATTCTTTGGACTATTTGGGAGGAAAGAAATTCAAGAGCCTTTGATGACAAGATAAGGGTGGAGGAGCTAATTGAGCTAACCTAGGTGAGAATAGCTCATTGGGTCATGAGTTGTGATGTTGTGCTGAATTTAAAGGCAGTGGAATGGAAAACCTAATGCGAGGCTGGTCAGTGATGACTGGTGCACGTAACAGGCCTGTAACAAGAAATGTTAATTGGGAGCAGTCACCTGATGGAAGGTTAAAGTTTAGCTTTGATGGCTGCTGATAAAAAAAAAAGAAAAAAAAGTTTAGCTTTGATGGACTTGGGGACATGTTTAAATAAAAGTATATACCATGAAAATGATACAGATGCCTACCATCTTATACCTATAGGAAATGATAAAAAGAATTTCTGTTGGTTAATTATTAATGTTCTATAGGAAAAATAGCAGTCTTGATGTACATTAACTTATGTCACACTGTACATTAGATATTTCATAGACTTGTCCCCTCAATCTTCAAGAATCCATGGTGGAAGAAGCCAATGTGTTCCAACATAAACACTTCATCCAGTTAGGAGGCTTCATGCAACACTGAAATGAGGTCATTTTCCGAAGGAGATGAATATCAGAAAACTCATAATTGAAGGGGACTCGGAGGTGGTGATAAGGTAGCTGAATAAAGATAATAGTAGCCTATGGAATTACAGTAATGAGAGGAAAAAATTTCAGTGGCTGGTGAGGGAGATGGAAGTGAAGATGAGGTGGATTCAAAGATCAGCTAACTCTTTAGCTGATGATGAGCTAAACAAAGGGTAGAAAGGGATTCAATGTTTTGGGATAAATTGTAAATTATTGTTTCTTTATTTCCTTTTCTTTTCTTCTTGAGGGCTCAAGTTGTATTTAGAAGATAAGAGTGTTTGTCTTCCTCTTTGTAATTATCTTCTTGCTGAATTAATGAAGTTGCTAATGAAATTGTTATTGATAAAAAAAAAATGAGGTCATTTTCAGTATTAGATCTTCCCTGAGTATAATTTTTTTCATGAACTTGCTTTTGAATATAATCCATACTGATTCTGCTCCCTGTAGAGCCTCCTAAATATTAATCACTTTAACACTCAAAACCAAATATGGGTTAAATCATCACGGCCTTGAAGAGACCATGAAGAAACCAACACAAAAGTTCACTCCTCCCTTTTCTCCCCAAATGCCAAAGCATTTTGGCTTGCACCATCTATGGATGTTCATTCCTCCAAATCATCTTTTTTATTTATTTTTCGTTGATGGGTAAACCCTCCAAATTGTTTAATCAAAATTATCTTACTTTTTCATTATTCCCCCGACCATGGCCTTTTATTGAAGTGAACTTTGATGCATTATCAAGTAGTCACTTTGGTCTGGCACCATGCAAAGACCTGCTCAAGATATATGGGACATTTCCTGGAAGGTTGTGCATAGTAAATTGTAATTTACTTCCTTCAAGAGATAGTCATAGTGTCATACCTTCTTGTTTTAATTAATTAAGTTTAAACAAGCCCCCTACTGTATGCTCCCTTTTAGGAGCTTTCTGATGTTTTAATGAAATCTGTCACCATGGAACCAGAGAAGTTTATGGTGGATAGCTTTGGCAATTTTCGAACTGATAATGTAATGCCTTAATAATGGTCCAGATGCCTTCCTGTAACCACTTCAACCTCTGGGGATTGTACGCGCCAACTCAGTTATCATTTGGTTTGTTGTCCAATATATGATTTATCCACATATCCAAAAAAGAAAGAACACAAGTTTCTTTCCCATCTTGATATCATAGGGGTAGCACCTTTTTTTTCTTTTTTTTTTGTTTTGATATAATAGGGGTATTACCTTGTATCGAGAAGGTAGACTGCGCATGAGTTTCACCCGCAAACATAGCCCAATAACTGTAGCCATACTGCAATGCTCAACCGTAGGGGTAAATGTAACCCTGAACAAAATACATTTAATTAGCTAACAGTATTATGACGGAGATTGGAGAATTGACATCTAGGATAGATATAAGCATGCAGACTATTAAGTAAAAGCAGAAGAATCTATGGAATTACCTAACATGGCTATGCTTATCATCCACTTCAATTGCATCTTCTGTAACAACTTTGAGTTCTTCTAAAGAATAAGGATGCTCTGGATCTTTTATATCTCTAATATGATTTAATATTGTTAAGAAAATAAATAATTCCATAAGATACAGCAAAAAAACAAAAAGATAGTGTGTATGTGGAGAGAGAGAGACCATGAAATACAGTTTTATCCTGTTTAATCACAAGAAAGCATATAAATTTATACAAAAAAAAAAGAAGTAAATGACTACCTAGGCTAGTGACAATTAAAAATAATAAAATAGTACATGACACACTATGTGAAGTTGGAAAGTTACAACAAATTAACTGTTATGAGAAATTATTAAAATGTTCGATTCATTTATTACATATGCCCATTTTGCTCATATTCTGAAAGAGAAATTGTGCTTTCCCTATATATATAGGGGGAAGCACCTGAAAGAAGCCACTCCACAGTGCACCACCCTCCACACCTAAAATAGTGTGCCATTTATACACAAATCTCCTCTTAAACAAGCAAAGGTCCTTCAGCACTGACATACAATCTACTAAATAAGTTCCTACTTCCGTGGAAGATGCCCAAACAGTCTAGAGACACCCTAAAAAATCTTTCAATTTCCCACCCTCCAGATGCAACAAAAGATAGCAAAGAACATATAATACAAAGAACAGGCACCACTAGAACCAACAAACCTTAAGGCAAAGAATGAAATGGTACCCCACATCTATTTTTTTTATCAGTAACAGACATTTTTCATTAATTATAAAGCAACAAACCAATGCAGGAAAAACCATCAAAGGAAAAACCAAATGGATCATACTCCAAAAAAGGTTAAAAAAATCAACACATATTGTATCGGGAGCACCCTGATACGCCACTACAGAGGGTGTATCGGGGTTTTGACTGGTTCAGGGGGTGGAGGAACCTTAAAATGGCCCCCCCTGAACCGGTTTTGACCGGCGTATCAGGCGTATCGATATTTAGAACCTTGACCCCAACTATCTCCCCCAAAAATATTATTAAAATTCAGCCCAGAAAATCAAACTTTTATTGACCCCTTGTTTGGCTAAAGAATCAGCCATGCCATTTGCCACCCTACTAACCTATTGATTCTAAACTCGCATATTCCTAGTTAAGCATTTGAATTTCTTCATTAGATCTCTATACATCAAAATCACTTTTCTCTTCATTCATTAACCAGCCTATTATCACTTTTGAATCATCCTCTATAATTAGGTTGGACACACCCATTTCCACAGCCTTCTGCACTCCAAACACATCCACCATAAGTTCCACTTTATCGAGTCTCCCAAGACAATTTGAACCAGATTTCATTGCCACTATATTTCCTTCATCATTTCTGAAAACACCTCCTGTGCTGGAAGGCCCTGCGTTCTAACACTACTGCCATCAAAGTTGAGATTTAAAAATCCCCTACTCAGTTTCATTTACACTAGACCTGTTCATGGGCCAGGTAGCCTGAGCCCGGCCCGGCCCGGCCCGATCTAAGTCAGGCTTGGACAGGATTTCAGGCCTGTGGGCTCAGGCTCAGGCCTAAAACATCGGGTCCGACCTTTTACGGGTCAGGCTCAGGCTTTCTCAAAAAAGCCCAACCCGAGCCCGAGCCCGACTTGATAATGTATTATATAACAAATATATATTTATATAATAAAATATATATATATATATAATATTTTTTCTTTATTATTCTTCTCTTTTCTCAAGTAATAGTGAGATCTTTCATTATTTTTTAGGTTTTGAGGTCTTTTAATATAAATAAAATAGTTTTTAATTGAATAAACAAGAAAAAATGTATTTTTCCAAATTTCTGGTCAGGCTCGAACCCAGGCTTTAGGCTTTATATGAGGGCCAGGCTCGGGCTCAATACCTAAGCTCGATGGTCGGGTCGGGCTTGGTCTCGGGCCTGGGCATATTCTGTTAATGTAAAGGCAAAGCCCAGCCCGGCCCATGAACAGGTCTAATTTACACATAGCCCTTCTTTCTTTTTTGAAGATGTTCCTGCTATCACAGCTCACTTCCTTGAAATGTCATCCACAAAAAAAGATGAAAATAATTCCATCATTTTCAACCAAGAAGCCGCCCTATGGATGACACAATCAGGTATTTCCTCATCACCTCTTTCCTTGTCTTCAAAGATTCTAGCATCCCTTTCCTCCCATAGACTCCACACCATTGCTGCCTTCAAACACCTCCACATAATTCTTCCCCTTCTTTTTTGGCCACATCAAGGTTGTTGCCTTGTTGGAGAGAAAAAGTTAGTGACATAAGTAGGATAATTCCACCTATACACAAGAAAAGAAAATGCCTTCCTAAATACTAATGGCAAAACAACAAAATATTAGTAAGCGAAAACAAGACTCACCATTGGACTTACAAAGAGTGACCAATGTGGGAAATAGTACAATAAAGCCTCCTTTTTGTAGTAAGCTATTGTGGATGCTTTAGTTGGAAATGAATACAGCCGCAGACAGCAGCAGTAATGGGCATTAGATTCAATGTTCCTATCTTATCTTATCTAGATTCAGTGTTCCTATCTTATCTCTTAGCTAGATTCAGTGTTCCTATCTTATCTCTTAGCTAGATTCAGTGTTCCTATTAATTAGGCAGTAGCATTATTATTTCCTAGGTCTTTTAGAAAGTTTCTTAATGTTTCTTTTAGAAAGTTTCCTTTTAGAAAGTTTCCTAATGTTTTTAGAAAGTCTCYTTTTAGAAAGTCTCTTAATGTTTTTTAGAAAGTTTCTTTAAGGACTCTTGTAATTCCTATTTAAGAAGCAGATGTTATTCAATAAATCCATCCAGAATTTCAGTCAAAAAAGAGCAGGGAGAATTGGTGATCTCTTTAACAAATCACCATAAAGGCGCTAAAGATAGGTTCCTCGAAAAAATGGGAGAAACAAGAGAAAACAAGAAGTTTTCCCTGTTAACCGACCTATGACGAGATCCTATTCGCGGGCCCTTAACAATTTGGTATCAGAGCAGGGCATCATTAGACCTGTTCATGGGCCGGGCCGGGCTCGGGCCGGGCTTTTACTGTGTATTAACAAATTTTTTTAAGGCCCGAGCCCGAGCCCGGCCCGACCATCGGGCCTACAATTTGGGCCCGAGCCCGGCCCTCATAAAAAGCCYGAAGCCCGAGCCTGGGCCYGGGCCCGAAATTTA